ATCTCCTAAAAGAGGAATAAGATCTTGAATTACTTTGAAAAAAAACCTGAATTTTTATATAGTAGGTAACAGGTCGATTTTCCGGAAATTTTCTAACATGCCAAAGATTGACTATTAGTATTTCTAAAATTCCTTGAGGGAATGATCTCCTTTCACTATTATAGAGATTAAGAAATTAAATTGGTGAAGTCAGAGAATTCAAAAGAACACATATGCAGATCACCAAGATGTAGTGGCAAAAAAAGATGAAACTAAAGAAAGAAACTGCAGAATGTTTGCATTCTTGTCACCACAAGACTGAGGAGAGCCAAGAACACAGTTGGAACCTAAGGAAAAGGAGCAGAAGGTCCAGCTGTGACTGAACCAAGCAAGCATCACGTGGGGTTTGCTCCAAAGGAGCCCATGATGCTAGTGATGTAATAATGGGAAAAGGCACATGCAAATGAAGTAAATCAGTCTCAGGGACAGAGAACCCTGTACCATCATCAGCTCCTCTTACCAAAAGGTCTAAGAAAACATTTGGAAGGGGTTTGTGCAGAACACAAAGAAAGAGAGGGTGAGCAGAAATTTCTGAGTTACACTTAAAAGCATTATGTTGGGTCTACGGTTGGGTAGCTTTTTAGGGTACTGTAACTCAGTTTGTATCTCCTAATGTTTTGATCCCAGTAGATGCAAATAACAAAGTATATCTTATGGATACATGTTGTTTCAACTGTCCTGTTAGAAGTAATCACTGCAAGATGAAAGCTCCAGAGGAAGTAGAATAGCTGCGTCAAGCACGGTGTTTACCTGGCAGTATTATTTCAGGAAATCCCATTTTTCGGGCTATTGCTGTTGATCTGTCAACCAAGTGTGAAAAATTCTTCTGAACCTGTGTCAGGTCACCTGGCAATAGCTTCAAGGACACCCAAAGTCCTTTAAAGAAATAAAAGATAAACTTTTAGTTCTTGGTACTAGCTATATAAAACACACACACACACACACACACACACAAATGTTGAGAAAAATATGAGTTGTATAATGATAACTAGATACTTTATTAGAAAGATTTAAATTCTTCCTAGGTTAATGACACCTCCATCAGTTTGAAAAGACATGAAGAGCCAAAAAACTTTTAGGGTGAAAAAAGTAATGATAACCCTTATCATACTGTCATGGATTGAACTGTGTCCCCCAAAAATACTTGTCAACTTGGCTGGGTCATGATTCCCAGTATTGTATGATTGTGTAATCTGATGTGATTTCCTTATGTGTTGTAAACTCTATCACTATGATGAGGTTATATGTGATCTCATTATGTGTTGTAAATTCTATCACTGTGATGAAGTTATACTGATGAGGTTGACAAGATTAGATAGTATCTGAATCCAATCTCTTTTGAGATATAAAAGACAGAAGAGAGCGAGACACATGGGAACCTCACACTACCAAGAAAGCAGTGCCGGGTGCAGAGCGTGTCCTTTGGACCAGAGGTTCCTGGGCTGAGATGCTCCCAGACCAAGGGAAGACTGATGCATCACAAGGACCTTCCTCCAGAGCTGACAGAGAGAGAGAGAACCTTCTCCTGGAGCTGATGCCCTGAATTCGGACTTGTAGCCTACAGGACTGTGAGAGAATAAACTTCTCTTTGTTAAAGCCATCCACTTGTGATACCTCTGTTATAGCAGCACTAGATGACTAAGACACATACGTTAAAATATAAGGCTATAATAATGTGCGTGATACTGGTGGAAGAAAAGATAATGTAAATCAATGGAAACAATGTGATTAAATACTAAATACTATAACGTACCCTAATTTAATATATGGTAAAGGAGGCATAACAAATCATGAAAAAAGAAACAATTTAACTTCATCAATGTGCTGAAATAATTATATTGCTACTTAAAACAGAATCAACTTAATTTCTCACCTCACATATTTCAATAAAATACATTCCTAATATTATAGAAAATTAATAGAAAAAGAGGAAATTTAAAAAAATATGTGCATAGTTGTTAAATCAGATAAAGAACCATTTTTCTAAGAAGAGAAATAAATTATGAAATTAGAAAAGTAAAAGAACTAGCTATATACAAACTAAAAGTTTTGCTATACATAAAGCATGCAAGTTATATTGCAAAATAAGGAAATACAAGAATTTATGAAAGAAAAATATTAGTATCTTTATTACACAGTTTATATCTATCAGAAGAAAAACATGAAAATATTCACAAACAAATAGGATAGGAATAGACAAATCACAAAGTATAAGATGTTTATAAACATTTGGAAAATTAAAAAATTGGAAAAATGTTTCTAAATATTACAGAAAGAACATAAAAACATTGGAAAAGTACTTGCTTTGTTGCTAAGCAGCAAGTGAGGTAATTTAAAAAAAGATAAACTATACATATATAGCAATCTATTTAGTGTAAGCATTTTCCAGTCTAACTGAAATTATATCCTTAGCTTATGAGTTTCGAAGAAGAGGAAATATATTTAGATACTTGTTTTCAGATTCTTTAATGATTCCTCATATATACTTCACATAGTCCAGCTTCTTGGACTGTTTGTTCAGCATACAGATTAACCAAGTATGGTGAAAGGTGAAAGGATACAAGCCTGACGCATACTTTTCATGATTTTAAATCACACTGTATCCCCTTGTTTGTTCAAACAACTGTCTCTTGGTCTATGTACAGGTTATACACGAGCACAATTAAGTGTTCTGGAATTCCCATTCTTTCCAATGTTATCCATAATTTGTTATGATCCACACAACCGAATGCCTTTGCGTAGTCAATAAAACACAGATAAACATCTTGCTGGTATTCTCTGCTTTCAGCCAAGATCGAACTGACATCAGCAGTGATATCCCATGTTCCGTATCCTCTTCTGAATCTGGCTTGAATTTCTGGCAATTCCCTGTGATGTACTGCTGCAACCAGTTTTTAATTACCTTCAGCAAAACTTTACTTGCATGTGATATTAACGATATTGTTTGCTAATATACACATTCTGTTGGATCACCTTTCTTTGGGTCGGTTGGCCAGGTAGCTGTCTTCCAAATTTCTTGGCATAAAACCAGTGAGCACTTCCAGCATTGCATCCGTTTATTTAAAATATCTCAATTGGTATTTTGTCTATTCCTGGAGATTTGTTTTTTGCCAAAGCCTTTAGTGCAGCTTAGACTTCTTCCTTCAATACCATCAGTTCTTGATCATATGCTACCTTCTGAAATGGTTGAACATTGACTAATTCTTTTAGGTACAATGATTTATGTATTCCTTCCATCTTCTTTTGATGCTTCCTGTGCCGTTCAGTATTTTGCCCATAGAATACTTCATTATAGCAACACGAGGCTTGAATTTTTTCTTCAGTTCTTTCAGCTTGTGAAATGCCCAGCATGTTCTTCCCTTTTGGTTTTCTAACTCCAGGTCTTTGTACATTTCATTATAGTACTTTACTGTCTTCTTGAGCCAACTTTTGAAATTTTCTGTTCAGCTCTTTTACTTCATCATTTCTCCCACTTGCTTTAGCTACTTGAGGTTCAAAACCAAGTTTCAGAGTCTCTTCTGACATCCATTTTGGTCTTTTCTTTCTTTCCTGTCTTTTTAATGACCTTTTGCTTTCCTCATGTATGATGTCCTCGATGTCATCCCACAACTTGCCTGGTCTTTGGTCATTAGTGTCCGATGCATTAAATCTATCCTTGAGATGGTCTCTAAATTCAGGTGGGATATAATCAAGGTTATACTTTGGTTCTTGTGGACTTGTTTTAATTTTCTTCAGCTTCAAATTGAACTTGCATATGAGCAATTGATTGTTAGTTTTGTAGTCAGCCCTGTCTTTGTTCTGACCGATGATATTGAGCTTCTCCATCGACTCTTTCCACAGATGTAGTCAATTTGATTCCTGTGTATTCCATCTAGTGAAGTTCACGTGTATAGTTGCCATTTATGTTGTTGAAATAAGGTATTTCCAATGAAGAGGTCATTGGTCTTGCAAAATTCTATCGGGCAATTGCTGGTGTCATTTCTGTCACCAAAGTGGGCCATCTGAAGAAGAACGTGGCATCAGGACTGGGGGAAGACTCATTAACAACCTGAGATATGCAGATGACACTACCCTGCTTGCTGAAAGCAAAGAGGACTTGAAGCACTTACTGATGAAGGTCAAAAAATAGAGCCTTCAGTATGGATTACACAACATGAAGAGAACAAAAACTGTCACAACTGGACCAATAAGCAACATCATGATAAATGGAGAAAAGACAGACGTTGTCAAGGATTTAATTTTACTTGGATCTATAATCAATGACCATGAAAGCAACAGTCAAGAAATTAAGCAGTGTATTGCAATGAGCAAACCTCTGTAAAGTGTTAAAAAGTAAAGATGTCACTTTGAGGACTAAGGTATGCCTGACCCAAGCCATGGTATTTTCAATTGCCTCACATGCATGCAAAAGCTGGACAATGAATAAGGAAGACTGAAGAAGAACTGCTGTATTTGAATTATAGTGTTGGTGAAGAATACTGAATATACTATGGACTGCCAGAAGAATGAACAAATCTATTTTGGAAGAAGTACAGCCAGAATGGTCTTCAGAAGCAAGGATGGCAAGACATCGTCTCTCGTACTTTGGACACATTATCAGGAGGGACCAGTTCCTGGCAAAGGACGTCATGTTTGGTAAAGTGGAGGGTCAGAGAAAAAGAGGAAGACCCTCAGTGAGATGGAATGATACAGCAGCTGTCAAATGGGCTCAAATATAGCAACAATTGTGAGTATGGTGCAGGACTGGGCAGTGTTTTGTTCTGTTGTATGCAGGGTTGCTATGAGTAGGAACCAACTCAATGGCTCCTAAGAACAACAATAACATACTCCTTCCCACTCAGGATAACTGTGAATACACAGGAAACTAAATATGCTAAAAATAATGTGTTTCCTAATAACCTCCACATTGAAATATAGTTACAGAGTAGTGGAAAAAAGTTACTCAGTCCTCAAAACACCCAAAAATGGTCATCATCTTAGTATTTGAATTTTAAAATTTTTATTATTTTTCCTTATTATTTGATTTTAAAATAACAGTTTCAATAACCAGAATTTCTAGTTAAAACTGTGTCAACAAAATGCTATATGGTGGTACTTAAAACAGCTAAAAATAAATCTGTTAGACAGTCCATTATTTTGTATGAATATGTATTCATTTGTATAACTTTGCTCTTCCCTTCGTCTCTATTTTATGAAATGTAACAGGATAACATAGAGAATGGTAGATAATTAACCCCTAAACTTTTTTTGTTTGTGCATTACCCTAGAGTCAGCATTGAGAAGGTAGGGTGGACAAAAGTGAGAAAAAACTCCTGAGATAAAAGTTGGTTTCACAGAATTCACAAAATACTACTGTAATCCAATTTACTGCTGAGTGCACTCGCAATGCTGTTCACTATTAAATGCCTTCAGCAGGAGGCTGAGGTGGGCAGTCCCCAGCAGAGTCTGTTCTCTATCAGAGAAAGATAATGGAAGGCCAGGAGTCCAAGGACCCAGCTTTGTATAACCCCCTCCACCCCTGCCACACCCCCGCCTAGGTCCCTTCCCAGCTTAGTACACAGGGCTGTATACCTTGTCCTTTGTGATTGACTTCCTTTGTTGCTATCACTTTATTCAAGATTGAAGTGAGTGGCTCATTCTCCCCAATCACATGGGATGTTATCAAGGGCGACATGATTATCTGCCTCTGTCGGATGTAGGTTTCCATTGCAATGCTGGGAAACATAGAAGAGAGGTAAAGCGGGGTGGGGAAGAGGAGGAAGACTACAGAACATTTAGAAATGTAATGCTAAACACTTCCATCCAGAGGGTTCTTTCTATCTTTCCTATCTTAAACACTAAATTCATCCTGGAAATGACTCAGGGCAAGAGGAAAAACAAATAAAACTGATGGTGAAAGGAGGCAATACTCAATTCTCTTTATGAGGTAGGAGAGGCTGCTGTAATGGAATTGAGAGGGCTGTGGAAGAGCAGGAGACCTGGCCTCTAGTTCTGAGAGTCTCCTCTCTGGGCCTCAGTTTCCCCATCTGTAAAGTGATGGGGTTGGATCATATACTTTCTAAGGCCCACATCCAGTGTCATCACTCAATCTATGAGAGAAATACATATGCAGTTGTGTTTGGAAGACCTGTTCTTAGATTCCCGTGTGATGACAAAGTACCTTTAGGATTGCAACAAATCAAGCATCAGCAAAGAACCTTCACTTTAATTATCACATCAGGCTGCGAATCATACACTGTGCTCAAAGAACCAAGCACAACCCCACTCTATTGACAGCAGAAACACTATCAGTAACTGTGTATCAGCCTCATGCAGTACAATAGTTTCCAGTCTTCTCTGCTGTGGTTTTGTTCTCCTGCTCACTACACACGCCAGCTTTCTCTGCATGGTTCAGATCTGTACTCTGATAAGAGAGGGAAAATATACTGCAATATGTTGCTGAAAATTGGGATTGCTACAATCTGAGTGGTTTTTTTTTTGAATGAGCCTCTCTAGGTGAGCCAGCAGAATACACATATAAAACCTTCCTAGTATAATATACTATAAAGCTTCTGAGATAGCTTATGAAAGTACTTGCCATAAATCTTAGAAGTTAAATGCCAGAGGCTGCAATTTGCATCATGAACACTTCACAGTGGTTGTTGGCTGCAGTGAGTGGCAGTCAAATTAGGGCTGGGATCCTCAGAGACCCAAAGCATGCATGGTTATACAGGGGAGACAATCGCAGCGGTTACAGTTTCAACATGGTCACTAGAGGATAGCTGGCTCAGAAATTACTCAGAGAAGCACAGAACTAAAGAAAGAAACCGATCTCAAAGGTGAAAACTAGTGTGTGTGTGTATGTGATAGGAGCAGCTTTCATGGACATAATATCTCAAAATTAGTATTAGCAACTAAGTTATATAAAAGATTTAACTATCTTACCATAGTCTTGGAGGGTCAGGATATGGATGGTAGGAGACTAGATAAAGACCTATTTAAAAAACAATTAATGGCAGCCTCTGGATGAAAGGGGGAGGACTACACATGATTATTACATGTATTATTATATTTAGAAGGTGACTGAAAGGTGCTAGACTTAAAATTGAAATATAAGGATTTTTTATAGTTTAAATAAAA